GGAGAGAAAGCAAAGAAGAGAGAATAATATGATCAATAGATGGAGCGATCCAAGAACCGACCACTCACGGTCAGTTCTGTGAGTTCTGTGACGTTTTCATCGAGTTTTTGAGGATATAAATAACTTTGAAAATGAACGTGATCAGTAAGAGATTCAGTTCGGGATCTTACAAATAATGAATTATCTCAGCTTATACAGCAAAGTGCTGCTACTTAATGAACTACAATATTAGGGTAATAGAGCTTTTAGAGGATGAACAAAGAAGGAAGAACACAGATTCCCAGAGTACCTAGCTATGAAGAGGAAACTACCTGTCTGGGTAACTTACCCGGACGGGCGATTGATGCATACCGCCCCTGATGTGCAAAATGTCGAAAGTTGCCCGCACTTTTATAGTGAATGGCTCATTGTCTCTACATCTCCGCGCACATAAAGATGTGGCACTTGAGGGGCGGCTTTAGCCATCGAATGGTTGGTGAGACAATACTTTGCCACAAGAAGGATTCCGAAAAACTTGAAAACTCAATAAGCAATTCAGACAATTTAGTAATATCATGAATGTATAGTTCTAACTTCACAGAAAATCTTAATTGATGTTTATCCGCTACAATGGTACACGTTTTAACGCATGCAAAACCTTCGACTAAATCGTCTGGACCAGTGTTGAAAAGCAATACATGTTTTTTCATAAGTTTTTAGGTGTTTTGTGAGTTATTTCGGAACGACAGCTGGCACTCAGTTTGGCAGCATGAAAATCCCAAAAGTATTAAGTTGGAAAGAAAATAATGTTGTTTTTCATAATAAAGCAACAAGAAGAATTCGAAAAAATATGTAGGTGGTATCATCCGTAGAGCAAAGGAAACTCTACGAGATGGCCTTTGAATTTTCGCGGAAGTCGTAATGCGCGCAAGTTTAGAGCCAAAACATAAGAGCAACTCATAGCGACAGAAATCGGATTTTTGCCCCGAAAAATTCTACGAGCCTCCCAATTGCTTCTGAATGTAAGATTTAATTCTAAAAAAGGAAGATGACAAGCTTCGCCCATAACAACCCTAGGATTCCATCTTGTATGCATTTGTGTACTACAAAACATCGAAACTTTGATTATGAAAATTTGGCCTTGGGTATGCCTTACTTGGAAATATGGTTATGAAAATTTGGCCTTGGGTATGCCCTAGTTCTTGAGAAATATTAATTTTAGTTGAAAAATCCGAAAAAGCGATATTCTTTTCTTTCCAACCTGATAAAAGCATATAAAAATTCTTCTACTGCGAGGCCAATTCTAGTCCACCTTTGATTTTGCTTTTTTTACATAAAAGACGTTGGAAAAAGAGAAAGCTAGCCGTGTTCAAGCATAGCACCTCTTTCACACTATCGAATCCTAACAACTGCATTCTTAATTTTTCTTTTTTTTTCTTTTTTCTAAGCAAGGGCTTTATCTTTTGTTTTATTTCTTGTTTATAAGCAAACGCTTGACCATATCAGTAAGAGTGTTTCGCAGTTCAGGTGAAAAAATGGCTGTTGACAGGTTCTGCATTCCTGATGTTGACAATCGTTGCCTTGCCTTTTTTTATAGTTTATGAGAGATAATCGCTGCTTCATCACTTTGTGTTTTGTGCTCAAAGAAGTTAGACGCTCTTAGGGTCTGAAAAAATTTTTTGCCAAAAAATCATTCTTGATTCAGAGGGACGGCTAGTTTAGTTGCATACCTTAGATAGTCTATAGACAGGGCGCCAAAAGTGAAGGTTGTTTGAACATCTGACGTCATAAATAGTGAAGGTTGTTGAAGAAGATCAGAGAAGAGAAAATGACGTAAAACAGATATAAAAAGCAAAAGAAACTGCTGTAACCCGAATAAAAACGCTGCAATGAGGTTTGAAATCTTTCATTTGGCGGCTTTTCAGAGTGCAAGTTTTCGCCCCAGGACCAGCAACTCGCAACACGGGGTTTTCATTTTTGATGCGTCCTTTGAATTTTTCCCCCGCATTGATGTTCCTGTTTTCTGGGACGTTCTCTGGATTGTTGCGCTTATTGTTCTGAGCAACAATCGCCCAAGGTGGAAAAAAATCGATGCGAAAGCAATGAAACAGAACAAGGTAAAGAAAAACGCACTTTTTACGATTTTTCGCAAAAAATTCTACCATACTTGAAGAGGGCTGGGTGGTTGTCTGTATTATGAACAGAAACAAGTTCTATAGAATGCACGAGAAAACCGCGTAAAAAGAGTTAAAAAAATATGGTTTTGGGACGTTGTCAGGGTGAATGTAGAGATCAAGAGCTTCAATTTGATGTATAGCTTGCTGAAATTGGGTTTGAAACAACGAAGAAAAGAGTACCAGAGCCAAATGCCCCGCGCCTCGCGTTTGGAGGTAGCGAGGTAGCGCGCAGCGCGCGGAGACGCAGACGAGCAGCGGAGAAAGACCAGAGCCGACGGGGCATTTGGCTCTGGTCGTAGATCTCCGCAGTGTCTTAACGAAATCCTACAACATTATATATCTTTCTGATCGTCATGACACGACGAAGAGAGCCGACAACGTCCCAGGATTTGGAAATCACTCATTAACAAGATAGACCAGCGTTTTCGTGCGCGATTTCTGCGCAAGAATTAAGCGCAGTTTCTCGTTTTTGTTTAACTCCAATAGCTTTCCTAAACTTCTGAAACTCTATTTTGGTCAATTGAGAGGTTAAGTGAAAAGCTTTGTCCTGAATTCTGGCGAAAATTCCGCAGAAACCTTTTTTTTAACGTGCAAAAACCCGCTATGAAAACGCTAATTTTCGGTTTTGCTGGAATAAGCCAATGTTATTATTCCCTATATCTGCTTCATAAACATACGTTCCGATATAGTCAGGACAGTAACATCCAGGGCAAAGCCCCGGATAACTTGTTTTTTCCAGGTGAAGGTTGTGTCCCCTCATAGCCCTAAAAGTGAAGGTTACCAGAGTATGTGGCTCTATGTATCGAGGGTATGTTTAGTTGTTTATATCGATACAGATCATAAGCTTGGGCAGACCGTAGTTTTACTAATATCAGCTGTTGATCTGGCAGAGAACTTCTGTACTTTTTCAACACTTTAGGCTGACTCTTGGAAAAAGCTTTGTAATATCATTGAATGCTTACATATGTAAACAGTTTTTTCTTCTGCCCAGAAAAACCCTTTTGCTTATCTTCGACTTGCTTGGAAACTACTCAAAGATATTTTGAATAAGTTATGAAAGAAAACGGCCATAATCTTTCAAGGGATGCTTATACACTTATCGGACGTGAGAGTCCCCATTTTCTAAAATGCAAGATTAATTGACTTTAGCTTTTTGAAGTCTGACAAAGGTGATGCTCTTTCATCACTTCGTTCTTCGTGTGTGTTTTATAAGGTAAGTAAACCCAGCCTTCTCAGAATTTGCCGTTCGATTATCAGCAGAGAAAAGGACGATGAGTCCTATTTTTTATAGCGGAGTTAAACAACCCAACTGTAACAAAGGCTTTCTGATTCTGCTCATCTGTCTATTGTAATTTCTAGTTTCATACCCTTTTATAACGCAGTAGATGTCAGTGTCAGTGTCAGTGAAAAAGCTTGGGACTTTGGCATCTGACTGAGAGCTGTCAGAAGTGCTATCAAAGCCATTCGTGCAAAAAGGCTCTGATTCAGATTTGATAAAGCGAACACTGTGGTAAACTCAGTTTGTCTTTCTTCTCCTCTTTAGAAGCGATGTTCCACCGAAATTTGGGTCTTGAGGTTCTCGAAAACCGAGCCTTTCCAACTCTGTGTAACGTTAGAAGGACTCAAATTAGCTTGATATCACCGATTTTATCACCCATCACATGACTGTCATACTACAACGTATAGGAAAGCCTAGGCGCGCAAATTTCAGAAGTAATGCAAAAATAAACAAATGGCTTGTTCACTTTGATCGATCATATGACAGCAAGGTTGGATACATGCATACAAGATTTCTGTATACCAGAGGCATATATTAGGTTGTCTCATAATTAATGCACGTTTTATGAATTTGAACTTCTAATCAAGATAACTCTTTTCCCAACCTATCTTTTTGAGCGCAATAAAATCTACTGCAAACAAGAAACCTCTGACTATAGAACGCATGCTTTTGTTGGATCGCAACTACTTTGAGAAAGATTTTACAGCCTAAAAATTTCCCAAACATTTTTCTAAAACCTATACGTTGAGAGAGCCTAACTTTCGCTCAAATGTAATAGGATCGCGCGAACTTTGCTCATTATATAGCCGGTGGTCGATTGTGCAATGGAGTGAAGTTTGAATTTTACGGCTTATTTCTGTGAGAAAATTTTGCTAAAAAACTGAAAGTACCCTTTTTTTTTTCAGTATTTTGGACGATTCAAAAAACTGCCGTTTTGAAATTTTTTGAATTTTTTCTCTTCGAAAAGACGATGAAATGCTGCGTTTTTTCCAGCATTAGTTGTACTAGGTCTACTCTACGAGTACATAGCGAAGTTTATACAGTCGCTTTTTCCTTGAGATTTTTATGCAGCTTAGATGGGCCTCAGCGATCGGCCAAGTTTGAGACAAGATTTCACAGCTCGAAATTTTTCAAGAATCTCATACAGACAAGCGTTTTGTAGCACAAAGCTTCTCGATCATTATGCATATTTTTCTTTAAAAATCCGTCTACTCTACATGGATTTAGAGAAAGGAGAGTGAAGGGAAAGAATTTCAAAATTCAATTACTTGTCTTTGAAAGCATGGAACTTCGGCTCCAACGAAGATTTGCGAAAACGAAAGCACATATTAGAAACTGGAGGAATCGGGCTTTCCGAAACTATAAAAGGTTTTGAAGAAAAATGTTTTTTCTTTGAAAATCAGCTCTCTCAAAAAGAGGTTAAAAAAACGTGCATTAATTATGAGACAACCTAATATTATGTATAATCCCGGATTTGAAGCAAAATCTTTATGCTCCGAGCTAGTACATTCTCGTCTACTTGTTCTGAATACAATAGCGTCCCATTACAAATGTACGACAATAAAACAAAGTTTTTAGGAAGTGATCGATGAAGTTGCTGCTTCTTGCGCTGCTTGCATTGGCGGAAGCTGAGCCAAACATCAGTAAACAAATTCCCAAGTCAATATTTTATTATGTTCTTTGAACCTAATAATGGTGGGTTTACAGGAGCCCTCAGCATTTTCTTTCTCATTTCTATCACAACAGCTCTAACGCAGGTTGGCAATTAATTTATCATTTTTTCTTGTAACCTAGCAGAGACTCAAAAACATTACTTGAAAAATCTGGCAGGCTGGAAAGTGCTTATGAAATGCTGTCAGGTTATTCATCATTACAGTGTCAATTCAAACGCCTATTACAAGCTGTACGTAACGTAAATCACTTGCGACTTTTACTAAAATACTTGAAATTAGGAGTTCGAGAAGAAGAAGATTGATAGCATGAGTTTCTAAGCTCTTGACATTGGTTCCAAGCCACCATCTACCAAAAAATGCTCTAAAAAAGAAGATTATATACCCTTTGATTCGACTTGCTTGGCGGCTGGAAGGTGGATATCTGTGACCTAATCAAGGCTAAGTAATGATCAAAGAGTACGCGCGCACGAGAGAGACACAAGCTGAGTCGCGGGCGCGAACGGCCTCAATCAGGTCACAAAGCCCCGCCTTCCAGCCGCCAAGCCAGTTGAACCAAAATTTTATATGCTACTTTACAACTACTATGTGTAAATTGAAAAAAGATTTCTTAATTGCGCCTTCAGGATAAAACCGTGTGCCCTAATCACGAGCACAAAACGCCTTCATTTTTCTCCCGCGCATTTTTAGCTAAGGAGCAGCACGATAGAGGGTCTTCCAGTGGAATATTTCTAGGTGTGTTCAGGTTGGATGAATTCAGAATAAAAACGGGTACGTCTTGTACTTATGAAAGCAGGGTGTGAAATCAAAGCGGAACCAGCATCTTTATCGGTATCAAGCCTTAATCTTCATGTGATGTAATCGGTCGTCTCTCTAATCAAATAAAATTCTGTAGGTGATTGTATTCTATTCATTATGATCGAATTTCAGTGTGCCCTGGGCATTGCGATAGTGGGTGGAATTACTTTAGAGAAACAGATTCTTGCTACAAGGTAAGTGGTAATTTTTTCCAATAAAAGAACAATCTCAGCTTGTCCAACTGTCTCTGAAAGCATCTACAATCAAGGTTTTTTCAAGACCAATCGTCAGTTATTCTGGACTACGTTATATCAAAAAGTGACGATGTTTTGTGATGTGTGTTTTTTGAGTTGTGCGAACCTGTTGTTATTTTATTTCGAATGCTACAAAATTCCCTACCCTCTGATAGGTAGAAACTGAATATTTTTTGAAGCCGCTTGAATTCAAGCATATAAGTTTGTGAGTGTGAATATGTTACCAGTACAAAATTACAAAGCAGATTATGCCAAAAATCTCGAGCCAAATATTTCATGATACATGTTCCAGAACTTGATTTATGTCATATGGATTCGCGCATCTATTGACCCACAAGACTGGGCACACTTCAGAATATTGCAAACTTACAATTTGTATTTTAGCAAATCAGCAAGTTACAGTCTTGATTATATGAGTTTTTTTTTTGCGGAAACAGCGCTAAAAAGTATTAGGTATTCTTCTTTTCAAAATTTTCCAGCCTAATTTTTCCAGTTTTTTAGGTCTTGAAACATTTTCAGATACTTACTTGGTCAAAGTGGCTGTAACATCGCTCCAGGTCTCACAAGGAAAGGATACCAACATTGGCCCGTAGTAAAGCTAGATCAGTTGAGGTGAACTCAACTTATCCCATCAGTTCACCTCACGTCAGGTGAACTGATGACCGCCCACCCTCCCGTGCTATAAGAATGGCGAGTGAACTGATAGTTGACCATCTGTCCACCTGCTGCAGTCAACTCTTTCACATCAGTTCACGTTCAAGTGACCTGAACGTGAACTGATGTTAGAGTGAGGCAAATAGTGTGTAAAAGAGGAGAAGTAGACAAGACTCCCGTAAGTTGCTCCTGAGCAACTTACGATACACATCAGATAGGCTAAAAATGCAGACAAAATTGGCGCAAAGTGCACAACCGCGCCCGAAAAGGAGAGGATCGATGAACAGCTGATTTTGAGGATAACAAAAAAAACAAATTCTTCTCTTTTTTATAAACCTTACTGGTTTTTTTTCACTAGCTGTCCAAAACAAGAACTCTTTTATTCATTTCACTGAATTCACGCTGCAACCATTTCGTTTTTTCATAAAATTTTTGTCACAAATTGTGTTTTTGTTTCATCCGTGCATTTGCTAGGCGAAATCCTTGATAGCGGTCATCATCGATTGCGTAGTGGCCGCTATCAAAGATTGCCCAGCGATGCATCAAAAGGTGTGTCGCTAGTCGGAGTCGAACCACGGCCGCGCGCGTGTAATTCCAATCGCTTACCCTTTTGACCAAACCAGCTCAAGTGGTTCTTTTTTCAAGAACGCACTCGATTGTAATGCCTCGGATCCAGCTCAATGGCTCCGCATCCAGATCAATGGCTCGCCGGATGCCAGACCAGGGTCAAGCGTGTTGATGCGATCCTCGACCCTCATTTACGACCCCCCCCTTGAAGGTACCCGCCGTACGACCCCTTCCCCTCCCCCCTCACTCCCCCTCCCCCATCTATCCCCCTTACCTCCCCTGCCTACATTATTCGCGGTAACCTGCCTAAACGAATGTCAATCTCAAAAAACACCTGCGTGAGAACTTCAGTGAGGTTTCGGAAGCAGAATTTCTAGGCCAATGGGTGCGCCCAGCATCTCTAGCACATATACACACTCTCAATAATGTTTGAGATTCTGCAAGTTCAGTTTTGAATTTTCAGGCATATTTCAGGCCAACAAATTCGATTCCCGTATGCGGCACAAATTTTTACACGGAGAAAAATGACATTCTTGAACTACAAATGATGTTTTGACTAAGAAGCTCAGTTCTTACCTCTTCCACACTTTTTCCTGCGAAAAAAACCGCTTTAGCGCCGTCCAGAATGACGTCAAAAACATGCATGAGCACGGTAGTTTGAAAATTCTTAACTAAGGTCAGGAAAAGACTGAGAGGCTGCCAAGAACAGGTTCTGTAGCATAGTGCCCAGACTATTCATGGAAAAAGTTTCAGCCCTTGAGGAGCAGTGAGCTCGGAAAAATTTAGATCAGGCTCTCGCAAATTTAGATGCGACCCTAAAAAGCAAAAACTGGGATTTTTGAGCTCAAAATTTTGTAACTTACAGAGAAGATATAAAACAGCCTGAAATTCTTATGATAAAAACTAGAGGGATGGTTTCGTATTACAGCAAGTTTGCAGCTAAAAAGCTTCAATAGCTCCGGAGAAATTTAGATCAGGCGCAGATACGACCCCCCTCTTCTAATTTTCTGCTACCATACATAAAATCATAAGAAAATCCGCAGTTTATAAAATAACACCAGATTTTGCACAGCAGTAGCAGGGCTTATCTAAAGTACATGTAAATTGTAAGGGCGGCATAAATGGCATTACAAAAAGATTTACGAATTATTGATTGTCATCGTTGATGTACATGTGCGCTTTTGTCGAGTGTGCGGTCTTCAGCGAGCCTTCGGAAGCAGGATGTCTACACCAATCGGTACATGCAACATCTTTATCACACATACATGCCTTTAGTAGCATTTGAGCTTCCGAAAGTGTTTATTTTTTGGATTTTAGTCATGCCAGCAGGGTTCGATCCCCGTTTGAGACAATATTTTTCGGGAGAAATAGTGATTCCCATAAAAAAGAACTAAGTCATAATCTTTCAAAAGTGCAGCAAATGAAGCGAATTTCTGCGCTTGCAAATGTTTTCGAATTATTGCTCACTCGTTTTTATTTGATACATTGTTACACGGCATTTCATGAATTTATTGTTTAAAAAAATGTGATAATTACTTGCTATTTGATTTGCTCTCAATCGTACGGTTTTTTATGCAATACCCCCTCTTACGACCCCCCCCCCCCTCACCGTAGGCCCCCTTGACGACCCCCCGTTGCGACAGTCGCATCACACGCTTGACCCTGTGCCAGACTGAGGCGTGATGAGATCAACGCCGGTCCGCGTCGAGAGAGATGCCCTGTTGGGGGGTTTATTACGGGCCATTAGGTGACGATAGAAGATGAGATGCATATCAGTAGAAGCGCCTTCAAACGCTGATTTCAAATCTGCTTTCCTTTTTGCGGAACAAGTTTCGGAAAGAAGCGAGAGCGTTATGAGCGTTTAAATGTCCAAATTTTGCTTGTTGGGTGGCTTAAAATTGGCGAAAGCTTTACAAAAACATCGGGAAGTGGAAAATCAGTTTTTTATCGATTAAATCGCTTGCAAGGAAGACAAATCTGGTGGAAATCGCATAGGATTTGTTTTAAGCTTTTTCTTGATTTTTAGCCACTCCCTGCTTGGCAAATTTAGAACATTCAAACACTCATAACTTCTTCCGGAAATTCCGCAAAAAAGGAAAGCAGAATTGGAATCAGCTTCCAAAGGCGCGTTTATTGATACACATCTCATCTTTGATCATTGACTAACGTTGGTATCCTTCCCTTATCAACTGCGTAACAGAAAAGCATGAGAACAATCTTGCAGGTGAACGGGAAACTCCGGGTCCGGTCGTGGCTTCTTTGAAAGCCCAAAAACGACCCGGCAGTCTTCTTCCCTTGTTGAGTTCTTCTTTCGGAACGTCACACTGTTCATCAGACCTTTGAGATACACTATAGTCTCAATAACGTACTACTTTTCAGTTCCTAGCATGTCTTCACAAAATGCTTACTCCACAAGCTGAGTCTTCTTTCGATTCATATGCACTCCGATCCTCTTCCCTTCGTTACGTTCGTTATGTTCTTTCAGCATCGTCTCTGTTTCAGTGATACATCTCGAGAAAGAAACGATGTCATCCTCAGAACGAAAATTCAAGAGAAATAGTTCATCAACTCGTATGGCTCTCGCGTTTCAATCCAGTAGCTTCATCACCCACCGCAAGTTCGCGGCGAATAGCTTCGGCGATATTGTGTCGCCTTGCTGGACTTTTTTTCAATTGTGATGGTCAGCGACGACGGAATGACTGTATCGTCGTTGTACTCCTTGATCGACCAGCGCTGGCAGGATGATTTTAATGCTGTTGAAGGCAATATCGTAGTAGATAGCAGTCGCAGGTCAGAGGAATAGGCATCCAGTATTCCCGGCAAGATTCTATGACCTTCCAAACCGTCTGACTGTGATCCACGTAGCCAACATCCAAGCTTTGAAGGCCTTCATGGTCTGGATCGCAGTGCGCACTTCAGCATTAGTGTCCGTGGTGGTGCTTTTCCAGTGGGTAAAACTGACGACGGCACGGCATTGATGAGCGGAAGAGGTTGGCGTGAAAGTTTTGTTCGCGATAAGTTCCATTCTCTGTAGTCAAAAAATCGGAGTCCAGCCTTTGTTCAGCAGTTCTGCCAGCGGTACCCTTTGATTCAACAGGATTGGCGGTTGGGAGGCGCCACCTCGCACCCTGACGCAATCTGCTCTTTCTCGCGGGTACATGCTCCCTGATCATTTCTTAGCTTTGATTAGGCCTCAAAGCCCCGCCTTCCAGCCAGCCGCCGATCCCGTTGAATCAAAGGGTACATTATATTCGCGAGATCGCTTTGGTACTTTTCAAAACTTTTTCTTCTTTTGGCTGCTTTCAGTGTCTGGATTGCGCGTACATCCTGATATCCTCCTCAAACTGTTCCGCAACTGGTGGCTATCAGTCGCTCGAGAAGACTGCATTAAGACTGTGCCTCAAAGATGTTCTTTTTCGAGCTATTCCTGGTGGTCTTCAAATGCGTTCCAAGTTCTACTCAGAAATCGCTGAGACGCACTCATTGCGAGACTGCAATTTCTGCTATTGTTGAAAAGTAGCAGTTAATAATGCTGGTAATTTTCTGTAGTAGAGAGCGTAGACTTTGAATTTTTAGTCGAGGTGATGGGATCTTATACGAATTGACAAGCTGGACAATAGATGAGTGCACGACAAAGTCAACACCTCTTTTCGTGCTGGAATTTTCTTCTCGCTATCAATGATCAGTCAACTGTCGCATCGGCATTGGAGACTCCCTGGCATTCTGAGTGCAGAACCTGAGGCAGTCTCAATGGCGTGTCGCTGCAGGCGTCTCGTTTTTGTTCGAAGCGAATGGCGCCCTGAGCAACCTACTCTGTCTTGTTACCCCGCCTCAAAGCGATCTGACGCGCAAAGTTTTCTTTTATATTCTTGTTGAACGGATAGTAGAGGTATTTTCCACGTACTCTCTTCTTTAAACCTGGGTATGTTGTATTGGAATCGTATATTGTTCTTCTGCCAACCAGGTTTGTGGTGGATCTTTATTGACCTTACGTTTCGACTAATATCGTCTTCTTCGGAGGTCTGAAGAGGAAATTTATAGAGTCCGAGCCAGTGCCAGTTGTCGACACGAAATTCCGTATTCTTACCAGCGAAATTCTGCATGTTTTGAATCGATTCAAGCCAATACAGCAAACTAACTTGACGCGAGAGCAATGTCAGGGTTTTAGAGAAATACGTGAATTAGCAAAAGAAAAGGCGATCCGAGTTTCTATAAGCGACAAAGGCCGTGAATTTGTAGTTATGCCACAATCGTTGGATCGAGAAATTGCAAAGCTGCATCTCTCCGATACTACGATTTATCGACCCGCAACTGAACAAGAGTATAAAGCGCAATGTAGAAAACTGAATAGTACTTGGATGAAAGTGGCAAAGTCTGCCGGTCTTGATAGAAAGTTTATCAACAGATTGAAAGTGGATAACCCACGGTGTCCAAACTTCTACCCTTTGATCAAGACACACAAGTTAGCGGCGAGCGAATCACAGTCGATGTCACCACAGTCATATAAGGTCCGCCCTATAATAAGCTGCGTGAGTGGACCGACTGATCGAATATCTTGGTTTTTGAATAAGATTGTAAGCCAGCTTCTAGCCAAAGTACCTGAGCATTTGTCCAACACTTAGCAATTTGTGCAGCAGCTGCGGAGCATGAGTTTTGAACCTGGTAGTATTGTCGAGTCTTTTGACGTAACGTCACTATACACCAATGTTCAAAACAATGACGCTTTACAAGCTCTGTCGGAGATGCTGGATGAATATCATTCTACCATGGTAACTTTTGGCTTGAGCAAAGCGTGCATACTGCTCCTCATAAAAGAATGCTTGAATTGTAACATATTTAAGTGGTCGGGGAATTACTATTCTCAGACCAGAGGACTTGCGATGGGCCAGAGGCTCGCTCCAGTTCTCGCGATTTGTTACATGAGTAAGATTGAGAAGCCAGTATTAGCGCGCTTGCCATTAATGTACTGCCGATACATCGATGACTGCTGCATTGTGACGTCAACACAATCCGAAATGGATGAGTGTTTTAGAATTCTAAACCAGCAGTCACAGTACATTAAGCTTACAAGCGAGACTCCGCACAGTGGATGGCTTTCCTTTCTAAACACCCAGATAAATTTGTCCGACGGTACTGTTCGAATTAAATGGTACCGAAAGGAAAGCTCCAAGAAAATACTCGTCCACGCTACATCAGCACATCCTGCAGCTCTAAAACGTTCCGTTATTCGCAATATGTACAAAACCGCTACAGAAATGTGCACGGGTGAAGACGAAAAGTATGAGTCACGACAGTTGGCATCCAAAATTGCTCGCAGTAATGGCTACACAATTGCGCGATCTCGACAGCGAACATCTACACCATCCGAAAACTGTAACCTTACGCGAAGCAATAACAGTGACAACAAGATCTCTCTCTGTATGCCATTTGTCTTCGATAGTTTCAGCAAAGAGGTTAGCAGATGCATAGTACGAGCACAGTTGGAAAATGAGGTGATGCTGGTCAACATTCCTAGCAGTAACATCAGAAAGCGGTTGATCAGAAACAGAATGTACGACGTAGAATGTTTGTCAGAAAACTGCATCGTCTGCCCTTATGGGAAACTAGGTGACTGCGCGAAGGAGGGTATTGTTTATCACCTGGAATGCTTGAAGTGTGGATCAACGTATATAGGAGAGATTGGAAGAATTTTGAGTGTTAGAATGAAAGAACACCTGGCTAACAAAAGACGAGGAAACGTTTCATCACCGTTGGGCAAACATAAGATTGAGGCACAATGGTGACGATTTTAGCGTTAAGTGTACAATTTTAGCGCAGGAGGTCGAGATTTCAGCACGAAAAAATGCTAGAAGCCGCGTTGATCTACGCCGGAAATCCGGGCATGAACAACAAAAATGAGCGCGTGACGATAACAACTGATTCTTGCCTCTTATGTCATTATGTGACCTTAAACCGCACAGTATATATAGTCCTTGACTCACTGAGCAACCTCAGTGATGTCCGTCACATCCGTGCGGACTACTGACTCCAAGGTGGATTAGAGGTTGGTAAATCCATTTTGGATTGTTTCTCGGCACGTTGCGCCCAGACGAGGTTCAAACGACGGAAGTCTGATGAGGCGTTTGGTCGTTTAGACTAACAGATAACATCACCGCAATTCCTTTTCAGACCTCCGAAGAAGACGATATTAGTCGAAACGTAAAGTCAATAAAGATCCACTACAAACCTGGTTGGCAGAAGAACAATACACGATTCGGATAGTAGAGGTTTTCTTGGCACAAGATACTCACCAGGCCCTGCTCTTGCCTTCCAACCGCCGGCAGTTTCTGTAGTGATAGGAGCCTCGCTGCTATTAGAGGGGAGCAGCAGTGTTTCCTTGCGCACATTCTCGTAAGCACTGATATAAAAAATGGGGAAAAGGATGTGCATCATAGTGTTGTACTTTTTCTCTGCAGGGACTTTTATGTAAGCGGGCATGAAACATGCACGCACCGCCGTTTACTTTCTGTAATCTAAGCAAATGTTTCATTCCTTTACTTATGTGAACGCTCTCGCAGGCATAGCGATCGCAATAAGAATGCGTAAGCGCTGCGATAAAAGGGCACATTTAGCGTCACAAAGGATCTAAAAATCTATTTTGCAAAAATTTCAGAAAAAGAGATAGTCGCATAGTCACACGTTGATTTTGAGGTCATCCTTTAATACAAATTTATACAAATTTATTTGTTAATACAATACAATACAAATTTTGCGTTACATACAAATTCTGATACGCATCAATTACAGCTCATGAAAATAAAGCTGTTTCTTTAGCTAAAAAGTCTTTACTGTTTGAAGTCACTAGTATCAAACAGGTGGGGTCTTCAACAAACACTCAGACAGTTGGAGCGGGCAGCGCGCGCGCAGTCACACGGTGGCGCAACACCCAGTGCGCGGGTGGCAGGACATTGGATGCCGCGCCGCTGGTGCTGGCCCGCGGATGGCTGCATTTTTCCAGTTTTTCATTGCGCTGTATACCACAGGTCTTGATAATAGATTCCACTCTTCATATGCCAAAAAATATGAATTCGTATTTGAATCCAAGAATTCAGATCCAGCATCTATTTGCAATGCTACCGAGGGCTAACGCTTGGAAGCAAAAAAACAACTTCCACTTCTGCGACTATTCGTACACTACGATGTAATATCTAACCTCTTGAATGATGAGGCAGCCTGACCACTGCGTCGTACACTGCGCGGGTATCCCTTGTGCTTACAGCATGTGCTAATTGCAGGCGCCCGGGCCGCACGGGTAGAGTATAAAGGCACGCGCGCGGCGTGCTACAGTAGGCGCGCGGGTGGCGAGATCGAACATAAACGTAGCGCGCGGGTAGCGGTGTTGGCCATTAATACGCGCGCCGCACGCACCGAATGTCTAGGGATGGTATGCGTTTGGGGTAGTGCCGGACACGCCCACAAATAAGGCACGCGCTTTGCTGCATTGACCATAAACGCGCGTGCGCCGCACGCTCCAACTATCTGAGCAGTTTCATTAGCGTTTCAAATCAATTTTTTTAGGCGAAGAGACACGATATATTGAGAGTAGAACAAGTGTAAGTTTGCAGGGCGAAGTGGCAATGGTCATGCATTTTGTTTTTATCGAATACAGTGGCGTACCGAGGGGGAGGGGGGAAGGCTCCCCCCTCCCCAGAATGAATCGCAAAATTCTTGAAAGTCGCTTATATGAGTTATAAAAATGTGCAAGCGACTTGTTTATACCAGGAATTTCGGGGTTATGGACCCGCAAAAATTTCAGAAAGCACACCAAGAATTCCCCCCCCCCTCCTTCCCTCCGGAAATCCCGGGTACGCCACTGATCGAAGAGAACCCTTCAATTTCTAATTTCTGATGAAGTTAGCTGCATTTGTTGACTGCGAGACCTACTTTGGCGAACAGCCAAGTAAAACATTTATTCATCACTGTTCAAATTACAGAATTTCTATTGGAGTAGCTTCAACGATGCCGAAAGCCTGTGTCAGGTCATAGGAGGACATTTAGTATCAATCCATAGTTTGAGTGAAAACGCTTTTGTAGCAGGTAGTTTCACTCTTATTTCATTAAGTTATACGGCATCAACCTGACTATACGTTTGAGACTTGGCAAAGACGGGACTAAATTGGAGCGATAAAAATCATTTGACATGGATAGGTTTGAGACGGGCTGATTATGTGAACGGCTTTGAATGGTTCTGGACTGACGGCTCGAGTGTTGACTTCTTCGCCTGGGCTCCTGGAGAGCCGGATAACTCTTATGGGAGAGAGCGTTGTGTGCAGGTAACTCTCTTTGACTTATAATGAAAGGGTGGTTAGTATAGTTAAAACGACCGAAAAATTTCGTCAAACGAATGAATGTCGAATAATCGGCTTTTGAAAAATGTTCGAACGAACGAATATTGTTCGATCTGTGATTTTCAAATTATTCGAATTCGAATATTCGAAGAATGCTACATTTCAAAATTCGAATAAACGAATATTCGAATAAATGGGGTGGTCGAATATTCGACTATTCGAATAATCGAATAATCATACCTGTCCGAATATTCGACTATTCGAATAACTCGATCTAGCGCCTCAAACAATGCTGGTTATTTCTTTGTTGCAGTTTTCTGCAAAAAAATAATAGCTACTTTTGATCTAAATTTATAGCTGATAAGTATATGCCAGCAAGTGGTAAGGATGACTGGGTTATTGTCGCTTGGTCAGGGTTCCACTCTAGGATACAAAAGAATTTTACTTAAACATGTAGTTCAATGTGTTTATTGTTTTTTGAGATGGCTACTGAGCCTTACTTAGTAACCGTTTCAATTCCGCATTTATTCCTCCTCACAGAAGTTTCTCCCGAAGCACAGAACTTTCTCCCACAGCTAAAGATTCAACATGGAAAACCTTTTAGAATAGGTAGTTGTTTGTAATTTATTCGTGACGGTCAGCATTGCGTGATTCTGAGACTAGCACTGGGAGAGCACGAGGAAGGCGCATAGTAATAAAATCAGTGAACCTCTGCAGCAGAGGGATGCACTGTTGTCTACATAATACTTTTGCGCATCTAAATCCAGAAAAGACAAGTTTTGGAAATATTAGGCCGGTTCAAAAGTTCTTTCCGTTTTTTCAACCTGCCATAAAAACGCTTAGAATAAGGGTAGGCGAATGTTCTAGGGACTAGCACAGACGCAGTTTTTCTTCCTCTTTCAATCATTCATGTTTTAAGACCATTTACTGTGGTGGTTTCTGAGTTAATTGCCGAAATTTCAACATGGTTTTAAATAGCCAACTTTTATTTTTAATCTTCATTGTGAACTTTTGGGGAAGCTTCGATAACTGTTAGATAGCATAAACAAAGTGCAATGGAGTAAAATTTTTTGGCCCCACTAGGTGGCTTTCCAAGATTTTTACATTTAATTTGAAAAAACTTGAATAGACGAGAAATCGACTTTGACCTAAGAATGTTTTCGGACTCCAGTTGACATCTCTCGAAAACTTACGCTTGTAGGAGGCTGTAATTCTATGTTCTATGTGGGAAAAGCCCAAATTGCCTTGGTTAAAGCATGTCAAATTTTGTTTTCTCAATCTTTAGTTGGAAAATCTACGAAACCATACAAGTGTTTGCTAAAAAGAGTGTGTGCATGAGCAAGTTGGGTATCATAGGAATTTTCTGGACGGATATACGACTCTTCCATTTTCAGGCTCAAACTTGAACTCGAAATGGAACTCCTTAAATTTTATAATAGCTCCAAACCCAGTAAATTTGATGCGAATAACCATGCATCCTCTTGTAAAACTCCCTCTGTCTGTCACCTTCAACACGTTGACGACAGTGTCGCGCAATGGTGCGCGACAGGCAGTCTGTCCCTGTGGACGATGTCGCGCAATGGTGCGCGACACCCTAAATACCAATTCGAATGTGCACAATGGTTCCAATTTGTGTTCACATAATCAGTTTAGGATCGGAAGTTTTTCATGTTGGCCCCGCCCCTCTTTTGGCAAACTCCGCCCACTCCGTTGCCCTGTACAAACATTTTTTTCGTTCTCAAATCGCATAGAAAAGCTCGTAGATGACTGGGGAACCTCAAATAATCTTGATTTTGACCCCGCCCCCCATTATGCAGGCCTCGCCGCCTGAGTGGCAAGCTCCGCCCACTTTCAAAAATGCCGGAATTTGCACGAATTCATTGATTTTGAGCGATTTCCAGCATTTTTGAAAAGTGGGCGGGGCTTGCCAAAAGTGGGCGGAGCTTCCCCGCCTACTTGCATTTTTGTACCTCACGCATAGATGCATACACACATATATGCAGCCGGCTGTGAAAATGCCCGGAAACGGTTTGTCCACAGGGACAGACGTCAAAAAAAACACCTCATCGTCAACGTGTTAAGCAATTTTTTTCTCGTGTTCACACCGTCGCGATACTACATGATAGCAGTGATGCGACATCATGCTTCGGACAAGCTACTTACAGAAATAATCGAGTTTTGAAATCTCAATTTTTTGAGGTCTTTGCAGGTGCAACTATGTGCTGTACAATCTCCTCAAACTCCTCCCTTTCAATGATTTTCAGCAATTTATGAAGAAAAGCTGGAGGACAAACTAGAGATTGCAACAACCTGCAAAGCATTAGCTCTGTCTGCCCGTTATGTGTATTTTCGAATATTCGAATTACCTCTGAAATTAACAAAATTATCATGAAATCAAGGGGTTCCAATCTTTGGTGATTATTCAACGTAGTCCAAAAACTTGTATCGCGGGCATAGCTGCTAGGATTAAAATATTCTGCATTGGCTACTGCTGGAAGTATTTGTTTATGGTTATATTGCAAGATTTATGAGACGCCTAATTTATAAATCAAAATGAGATTTTATTTTTGAATGGTGCGTAAAACTTTTGATGCATACAATACCGCTCATAATTCGTCAAAAAAGTCGCCGGACTGCGGCGCACTCCGCCAGAATGCGCGGCAGTCCACCGCACATCACTAGAGTCTGTCTGAATCCGCGTTGCATCGCCAAATCTCGTTTCAGAATGGACGATTGAATCCGAGGACACCGTTCGATTTAGCTCGGCGATACGCATCATACTGCATGTAGAAGTGCACAATCTGTCGACTTACTGTAGGCATACGCTCAGACAATCGCCGGGGGCAAGCGGGCACCGGAAAAATAGATGGCTGATTTCTTGCACCCCGCTCGCCGATTTTTTGAAAAGCAATCAGGACTTTTCGGGACGCCGCTTGCTGGTTCTCGTTTCCTCAGAGATTCAGCAATATATCTGCAAAGCATAAGAGCGAGAAAAGATTCAAGAGGCGGTCTCTCAAAAACTCGCTGATGATTTCCCTGGAACTTGCGAGCGGAATACGAAATGCCAGCAACTCGCATTTTCCGGCGCTCGCCTGCCCCCGGCATTGTCTGAGCGGTAGGCAGTAAGTTTTCTCTCAGTTTTGCACAATGGTAAAGAGTTACTTTGAACTTTGTTCTAAGTCAAGCACAAAGTATTTCATGCGCTGATTGCGGTAAATGCATTCGTTTGATGCTCAAGGCAGTGCGCAGGGATCTGCGATGTAAGGTCATTTTGGTTGCGTTCGAAACATTGCTTATTGTTGCTTTCACGTGTTGCTCTCTCTAAACAGAAAGATCGCATGCAGCACTGGCCATCTGAACAAACGAAATGGTGTCATCAAATGCGCCTTGGTGAACTGATTCCTAATCTACTTTCCTTATCTGCTGAACAGCTCTCTAGTAGAAGTCTTAGGCGTCTCTAAACTTCGCAATCAGTCAGTTACATCAATTAGCGGCACAAGGATTCTTCGTTATTCTAATAGAATTTTTGCTCTTTGTAGTGAGTATGCACAACATCATGCCCATTATGGTCTTTCGAACTGGTCTTCAAAGTAATATGCACAGGTAGCTCAATGACTTTATACTTTCAACCGCTCATAACTTCTCTCAGAAACTCGTTCAGCAGTTAGGGAAGGTAGTATCCAGGGCCTGGCACGAGTCGGTTTCTAGGGTTTCTGGAAACGAAGTCTCCCTGACTTTCGGAAGTTTTACGAAGTCCCCTTTGACCTATTTGCTTACTAGTCTAAAAGAAAAAACGTAAGATAAGACTGAAAATCCAAATTGGAGTGAATACCACGCATGCACAAGAGTTTGGCACTGGAGCGCGATATTTACAAAGCGATATATGAGGAAATGAAGGCAAAAAACAAAGGAAAGGCAATGATATGAAAATGTCTTCATGCTCAAGGATAGATTTTTGACCGAGGAATCTGTCCATGATAGAAAAATCCAGAACTTATGTGAAGTGACAGAAATATATGCTCCAGACGATCTCAGATCGTCTGGTGGCCGTCTGGAGACGATCTAATTTTGGAAAACGTATTACTTCACATAAGTTTTCAAACCTTTTTACATAGATCTTCTGCAAATAATTTTCTAAGTATACGGTTCAATTTTGGTGTCATACGATTCTGTGTGCGCTGTAAACAAGCTATTTGTTGATTTTGGCCTTGCTTTCAAATCGCGCGCACTTTTCGCGATACGAGATAGAGCATGTCAGTCGTGTGATAACCTGTCCGAAAAGCTTGTATTTGACTAAATGGTGCTTATTCTTGGTGCTGGGCCCCGATTCGTCAAAAACGATATCTCCTTTGCTTTTTGCTTCAAAAACGAAGTCCAGCCTGCTTCCAGACGATCTATGCCGGGCCCTGGTAGTATCCTTATCAAGACGCTTTGGATATGCATTTTACCAAGATCGACAGCTGTGATCTTAAGGTCATTTCCTGTTCCATAGTAGCTAATATTTATTATGACGTCATGCTGTAGAGTACAGACATTGTTACTTAGCATACGTGATTTAGATGTGTATAGGGACATAACATTTTCGTGAAAACGTGTTTTCACCATAACATATCGCAGCGCACATTACACCTAAAAAGTTTTATTAAGTATTTTTCAATAGAGCTGTGTCTTTATAACATCCACGATAGAAAACCAGTCAAAGGTTTTTTTTTCAAAGCCGAGAGAAAGAGCAGTGGATTTCGGGAATATGCAAGGTCCAGGAATTATCAATCTACCGCAAGTCTACACCAGCACCGTAGAGAGCAAATTTTGCGTTAGTACTGTAACATGAATGCCATATTGCCCATCTGAGCTGAGTTTCGCGTCGATCTGAGGTCTTCACTTCCGTTCCGCTGACGGGTGTTTATGTAAGCGCAACTCAGTGCTTTCTGCAGATGAGAAGCTCCAGTAGGCATCACCCAATAGAGCAGCCTCCCTAGTTTTTAGCAGGGAAAAGCGCAGAAAGTCTTTTGCTGTGAGGGATTAAATCGTTAGCAAACTTTGAAGAAATCCATGTTCACCTAAAAATTGCCTACTGTAGCCTTACAGTAAGAAGCTATCTTGCAAATGAAATATGATTTTCATGATTAGCGAGTCGGATAACTTCTATAGGCAGACTTTCTGGGAGAATCGGGACATTTGATTTTTTCTCGTTTCTCGCTCTTGAACTCGCCGCACGTTTTGCCTGAAATATCAATGATCTTGATCCGACCTGAAACTTCGCTGACAAAGGTTTTAGGACCCACTGTTTACGAAAATTTTAGCTATTCTGCACGAAAGAATTTTACTGCAAAGTTACATTGAGCGGTATCTAGCTAAGTCACTCGAGCTCGCTAGTTTGCCTGCCCTTTTCGCCTGTCTGCTGACGGACTTGCTTGCGTATTCTTGTAGGTTGGAGTCTCTGTGAAGAGTACAGTCGGAATATACTTTATCTGTGCCTTCATCTGCACTATTCCCACGATTATGAACTTACGAAATCACGTTTTCATGAAATTTGTCCCAAACCTAAAAATCGCGTATTTTGATGGAATGTTTCACAAGTGCATAACACACTGGTTTTAAGTACCAGATTCATCTTGCACATGAGGAAGCCAACGGATTTCCCCAAAATACGCGACGGACTCTAGTGATATGCGGTGCACTCCGCCGCACTCTAGTGGACTGCGCCGCACTCCTGCGGACTGCAGCTCATTCTGGCGGAGTGCGCCGCAATCCGGCGACTTTTTTGACGAATTATGAGCGGTATTGTAGTTTCCATATTTACTGCAGAGTTTCTGATTTTAAGAAACCCAACTAAAAAAAGGTAAAACTGAAAAACACCGTCTACTCATGCTGAGGCTGATGAAATTTCTATGAGGTACAAGATCAGGAGAATTGGTCAAGTAGCCCCGAGTTTAGCGACGGCAAATTCCTAAGTAAGAAAAATGCTCCAGAATCTAGAAGCGCCAATGATGGCAAAAAGGATTTCTTGAGCACTTGCTCGCGTTTCCTTCCAAATTTTTATGTTTTCAATTTAATTTGGAGCGACCGTAAAATGCAATGCTTATCTCATTTCAGCTGTACTCTGACTCTAACACTGGGAGGGAATATGCTTTGATGCACCAGAAATGGAACGATTATACTTGCACGGAAATCATGAGATCGTTCGTGTGCAAGAAACCGGCTTCACATTAGAAGCGAATCTTCAATAATTCTACTGTTGACTGAAAATTCAGTATTTAAAAAAAAATTTGGTGGATGGTTAATAAATTTTGTCCTGCTTTTTGCTAATAAATTGAAATCGAGAAAACTTTCACAATTGCTAAACGAATACTCTCACGTACTGCAACCCAGAGCAAGTGTTTGCAAAGGCACTGAGGAACTGCATTTTATTAGATTCAAAGAAAGATAAGAACGCAAGCGCAGGTGATGTAACGATTTTGATCAAGACTTTTCTGATATACAAGAAACAACTTTGAATCGTTTTTTTCATGTTCTCAATAGCTTGTAATAAGCATTGTGTCACACCCTAGTAGATAGCCCATATGTGACCGGAGCTGCCAAGGCATTTAAAAAAGGCGCATCATCTTGGGCTAAATTCTACAGATATGCAGTCTTTTTCAATTCGGAGTGGGCGAAACATTCCAAGTGGAGCGGAGCGTCTGTAGCGCCACTGGCTCAAGGAAATAGATTGGAATGAAGAGATGCAGACTGCAAAGCGGCGCGAATCGTTGCGGACTCCCGCCAGTCCATTTTCCGCCTAAACCACTGTAACAGCCTGATTAAAAGATCACGTTGTAAACTCTACTCAAAATGGCGGGTATGGCGTTATATTATAGCATGGCGTTACATTTCTGTATAAGCTTTGAAGCGATACGCTCATGGGATAGTGCCGAAGCGATACGGCTATACCCCGCGTACCTATTTTCATAATACTATCTTATGCCCCTCTTTCTCTGTGCTTGCGCAGCGAGTAGCAAACAATGTAGTTGGAAAGCTGAGTATGAGATGAAATGAGTATGAGCCATGATAAAGCGATAATCTTATATATAAAGCTGAGTGTCTGTTTGTATGTCTGTCTGTATGTTTGTATGCACGTATGTTCCGAATAGAAAATTCCATTTCTGAACCGATCCGGACCAAACTCGGAACACATACACTTCGGGGCCGGCCGGGTGTCATAGGCTAGTTTTGTCATCGATCGATATCGATTTTATCGATTCTTATCTATTTTTTTAGTTTGAGCTACGGGGCTGGGAGTTGGCATAGGGAGGTAATCGAGCATGCTGAATTCTACAACAACAGGATTAGGGAAATGGCAAGTGGCCGTGGGCACAGGGAAAGGTTGTACAGGGATACGGATGGGAGCTTTATCATAGCTTTTGATAGGGCTGGGCGGCCCGGTAAGCCAGCTAGTTACAAATAATTTGGATGTAACAGCTCTGGACCAATTATCCCAAGCTCAGGGAACATTATGAGGATTTAGAGAGCTTAAACTGTACTTGATGATATAGACTTTCACTGTTATCAGGCACAATAACAAATAATTTGGACTGTTATCACTGGGACATAAGTGTAGAAGTTCATGTTTTATCAAGAATTTTCTTACTTTCTCTTTATCACCGAGACATAATTGAAGAAGTTCTTTTATTGGAAATTTTCTCAGATTGTTGAGTTTTCGTAAGTAATTATTTCGAGAGAAGTTTGTTTAATACACGACATGCGACTAGCAAATGAGTCTTGTAGTAATTTTTGCTCCATACATCTGTCCGAACCAAAGAGTTGTTCAAATCGAAATTATGACTATTTGTCGGACGAGTTATCTAGACAAAGAACTTTGAAGGTTACTCAGATCTGAATATTTCAATCCTAATGAAAGAACAATCATTCTTCTGGTGTAGAGTTTTGAGCCCAGAAAGTGCTAGCCTACTGTTATAACCAGTAGAGCATCAGGGTAGCTTGTTTCGGTAAGCACCAAGTATAGAATGTGGTGAAGTGCTGAACTTCTCTGCTTTATCAGTAAGTTGCTTCCGACTAGGAGTCCATACGGGGCTGTCGTATTCCAAAACAGGTAGTACAGAAGCTTTATAACATCTAAGACAAATGAATGAATTATATGCATGCAAATTTCTAAATAAAGAGTACATAATGCGTGATGCTTTAGAGAAAACAAAAACAACATGGGAGAAAAGTTCAAGGGAAGGATCGATGGTTACACCAAGGTCACATATATACGTCTGATTTTTTTGGATTTTATAATCAAATTCAATCAAATTGCAAATTGCTACCAAATCCCAATAATTGGCTTTCAAAGAGATTGGCCTCGACTTCAATTTTAAGAGCACTGTGGCATGTGATGTACTGGACATCTCAATTTTTCCTGACTGTCACTCATATCAATGTCATAATTGGCATGAATCTCAATATCATTAGCACATTCGGCTATATTGATTCTAGGTTTTGTAAATTAGGAAGCTCCATCGTGTAGATATTGAACAGGAGCGGGAAAGAAAGCTATCTTGTACCTACCAAATCAGAGACTTGTGGAAGTGACTCCAAGGCATTTCTTATTGCTAAGGGCATCAATTTATTTTTTGCAACATTTCAACGGTTGACTGCAGGTAGAGGAGCCGGTAATAAGATCATGCTGCTTCTGGGGGAAAATGATTCTTCGACACATCAATTAATTTTGGCTGTTATCTGTTCCATGATTTTGCATGGCGCGGGAAGAATACTGATTGGTCCAAAATCAGAGACCTTGTTGCACCAGTGCATTTCGGTATGAGGACAACCATAACTTTCTTTCAGAATTCAGGCATATTCCAGTTACTAGTGAGACGCTGAATATATCAGTCAGGAGCTCGCTAAATTTCTTACACATTTTTGAGCAAAATGCTGGGGTGCCTTCAAACGTAAAGGATATGAAGGTTTTATTGCTTTGAGAAGTTTGTATACTTCACTGTAGGTAAAATCGAATTGAGGTGTCCGTAGGGAGCTGGATACTGCCTTAGCTTTATCTAAGGCGCTTCTTGCAGGGCTTGTTTAGCTTCATGCAGTTTTCCAATTTTGATTTTAGTAAAGGATGGCTTATCAAATTGAGTCTGTGCACGTTGTCTTTTTTTGCTAGCTTACATCGTTTATAGCTCAAAAAACGGCGTAGATGACGGTTAACCATTTTGACAGACATTCCTGTACTGTGTATTTTTAAGGAAATGAATTCAATTGAAAAGAGCCGCCTTTTTGAATCGGTATGTGAGAAGAGTAGTTAATTTTAGAAATTTGTTGCTTTTGAGAGAATCAATTTTTATAACATCACTAGCTGGCTTACCCGGCTCCGCCGTACGTTCCGAATAGAAAATTCCATTCCTTACCCGATCCGGACCAAACTTGGCACACATACACACGGGGGTGATCAGCATGCTCGATTACCCCCCTGTGCCAAATCCCAGCCCCGTAGCTCAAACTTTGCAAAAAAACCGATAAAATCGATAAAAGTGCACGATTTTAAAAACTAATATTGTATTCGGAATCCCCATGCTCACTTATCCCCCTGTGCCAACTCCCAGCCCCGTAGCTCAAATTTTGCAAAAAATCGATAAGATCGATATCGATCGATACGAAAAGTAGCCTATGACACCCGCCGGGGCCCGAAGTGTATGTGTGCCAAGTTTGGTCCCGATCGGTTCAGAAATGGAATTTTCTATTCGGAACATACGTACACACATACAGACACACAGACAGACATACAGACAGACATACAGACAGACAAACAGACATTCAGCTTTATATATAAGATGTAAAGTGGCAATAAGTCGCCTGTAAACACCACATCGTCTATGTCGGTTATCGACAGTTATCGACTAATTAAATCAATGAAAGACGTTGTGTGTTCAGAACTGCTGGAAAAACTGCCAAGCCAGCATTTATGTGCTGAATTTTTCACATTTTAGGGTTTTAGATTAAATTTGAATATTTCGAATGATCGGCAAAACCCAGTGGAGGTGGAATTTCATCAAAATTGATGTTATTTGATGAGCTGGTAACAGTGTCTATTGAGTTGACAGTGAGTTCTCACGGATGGGATAATCAATCACTTTCGTGTCGAGTGATTTGAAAAGGTCAAGGTATTTGCGTGTTGAAAGCGATCTCGATTGTGTAGAAGCCAGTCAACATCACTGAGGTAAAAATCACTTAGAATTGTGATCTCAGAACTTTCGCTTTAGAGTTGTGAAAGGATGAAAGTGGTCCATCATGTTCGCAACGAAAATATCTGGAGGACGGTAAGCTAGAGTAAACCGGTGTGTGTTACGTGACTCGCTAAAGGCATGTATTACAATGTCAGCAAGGAGTGAGTACCCAAGTTTAGTCAACAATCTTATACAATACATCATCACAATTAAAACACATACACACCACAACTTCTCCTTTGTTTACGAACTCTACAAATGATGGAGTATCGCAAATCAGAGATAATTTCATTACTGGTTATCTTATGTTAGTTGAAAGTCAGGTCTCGTTGATGATAAGATCAGCTTGTTTGAAAGAAAGGATGATACGTCTCATCAACTTATTCAAAAGACTTTCACCATCAAACAGTAAGCATGAGATAGACATATAGCTTGAGAACTTACAGGATTTTGAAAGACTGGATTTTACTTTAGGAATATCGGCGGCTTTTTATCACCTTATTCCTAAACACAGCATACAACTGTAGCGGTATGTCTTGTAATAATTCAAATTCCATTTCGTTTAAATCTGGGAATTGGAAATACTTTTCACTACTGCTGCGCCGTACAGATTTGTTATTTGGTATAGTTATTTGATGAGAATTGCCTGATGTTTCGACAGCTTCGTCATCCTCAGTGGCTTAAAAAGGCCCAAAGCGATATTTGCAACACCAAGCCACCATATATCTCCTCCAGCCAAGCTAATTTCGGCCTACATCTAACATCTTTTGGCAAAATCGTGGCAGAGATGAACGCTCCTGTATACACCGTTGTTCGAGACATCCACACCGGAAATGGCAGAAGTTGGCGGACAAATGAGTGATATAGTAGAAGCGAAAGAAGCCATCTACTATCAGGACTCCCATAACGATACACACGGCAGGAAGTGTGCAGTAATGGACAAGCACTCATTCTTGTTGTTCATTTTTCTTCTTTTCAGAGATCCAAAAAGCTTTCAATGCCTTTCCCCGAGAACTCCTTCCGGTTCATGCGTTAAAGTCGTGCATTT